TTTTACCATATATTCATATGGTTTATGTAAAAAAAAGATGATAAAAGATAGGAGCAAGAAAATATATCAATTCTGCATCTTACTATTTTCTGCTAACTCTTTTTGAAAATTCAATAACAATTAATTACCTGAATTTTTGGCGTTACCTACTAGAAGTAAACATAACTGGAGTAAAAAACATGAAATTTAACTTACGAGAATTTTTTTTTGAAACGAACCTTATATTAATAAGAAATTTGGATCAACTTACATTTCTTTTCTCTGAACAAATCCAGAGCAGAAGTATTGAGTGAAACTATATAATTGGGTAAGCAGAAGACTTGCAGTTCTATTTGAAAAAAGATTGGAAAATTTAAACCCGCTCACCCGCGGCAGATCTCAGGCCAGCTTATAATTAGTACCTAGCAATGCTTTATCGAACCGGACAACTAACCCCCAGTGCTCCGACCGATATTTCGCGGATGGACGGGATGGCTGTAAATTAGATAAGTATTTTATTTTTCCTGTTGCTTTTCCTTGAATTTCTAAGATTCTTCTAGGATGTTTCGTTGGTCACTGAGATATTCAAGGGTCATAGAGTCAGAGAATGTTCGAATCCTTCCTGACTGTCGCCTTGTCACCACTACCAGCTCAACATATGAAGTCAGGAGAAATGTAAATTACATTTTGTCTTTTAAAATGTGCTGAAATTTATTTTATTTCGAAAATATGCTTTTTCTTTACCTTGACTTGCACTTAGTTTGGTCTTCTTCCATAATATGTATCAGTACATTTTTCAGACTACTTCATCTATGCGTGATCCAGTTAATGATGGCACAAAATATGTTAGATTTGCTACGATATTGATCACAGCCATTGTAAGCTTTGTCTTTAATGATAATCAGTTTAGTCATTGTTGACACACAAACTTCAATCAGTAAATAAACTTAGGGCTTTGGTGTGATAGTCAATATATTTTAAAGACTGAAATTGAAATATTCAAACTTCGTTTCTCGTGTAAATCACATTTATCTCTTCTAAAAACAGTTACTTCGTTTTGTCATTTAATTATAAGTTTTGTTGTTTGCTAAATTTCATTATCCAATTATCAGATTTCATTGTTGAATTACTCATTTGCTATTTTTGCAAACATACTCTTCGGGTCTAGCTCAATATATTTCATTTCACCTACCTATTTTTCATTTGAATATTTTGATCTACGCTTTATATTCTAGTGCTATTATTGGTTTTTTCCAATTATAACGTTGCATTTAGTGATAATAATCGTAACGATAATAATCAGTTTAGCTGTTCATTTAAATTGCTTTACTTTCTTTTCAGTCGAAGCAAATGTGAAAATTGATAAAATCTGATTTTGTGAAAAGAAATTAATGAAAATTTGCAGTGTATTTCGATCTTTTTTTCTTTCTCAGCCTTTTAATATTTTATATGGTAAATGATATATCTTGAGCCATATATGATATTCCGGGTCTACATTTAATCTTTCAGAATTTTTTTTTCTTCGTACAGGTTAACAACATAATAAGGTTTAGTAGTCATTATAGTAAAAAAAAACTAAATCTGTAATAGTCACCAACATATACATCTCATTTTATAATTTCTTTGGATGTTTTTAAAGTTTAGTAAACATAAAGATGAATATAAACTATATACAGTGATCGTTTTGCAACATTTGAATATTTTAATTAGAGATTTGAGATGGAAATCAAATATAAATATCCACTATTGATTGCTTGACTTTTTGTTTATGTTCAGATTGGACTTCGACTTGTCAATTCTATATTTGATGGACAAAGCTACAGAAGTTTTGGTGATACTTTCAAATCGCATGCTTTTTCGTGGCCTCAACATTACAATATATTTTTGCCCCAAGACAGATTGGATGTCAACGATGAAGATGACGAAATTTGAACGGGTGACATTTAACGTTGAGGTAAATTACAGTCACGAAATTTTTATTTGTCTGAAGCAAAAATAGTTTTCTGTGTAGGACGAGAGTAGATGTACGGCAAAGCATTGGAACCATGGAATTTTATTTGCACTTATTTCATTTCGTAACCATGTCCTTAAGTGATGATGTAATTGTATTGTAATTGTGGCCTTGTTTTGATTTTTAGTGTGAAATTTCACAGTATTAACTATCCGGTTTGTAGTTTGAAAGTCTCCCCTGACTTTCTCTTGAGTATACTGATGTTTTTGGGAAAGACGTCTTCTACTTTTCCATTCTTCCTATCACGTATCCAACATGCCTACTCGTTGAATTGTCCAGATGGAATTTTATAAAGCATTCTCTGTTTCTCAGTCATTCCATTCTAATCTTCATTTTGCCAATTATGTCTAATTCTAAATTAGAAGTTCTGGCGCATAGTTTGTAGAATTATTGTAATGCCAACCATATACATCTCAAACTCATCGAACTTATAACTGGCCGATCAGACTTTTGAACCGGGTTCAAAGATTGTCCATTTTATAAGACTGGTTTAAATTAATTATTGTTGTATGGAAAGAAATTTTATCTCGAAAGTTTGATGTCCACCTTTTTTTTTCATCTCTTTATTCATCTGATTGCAGTATTTACTGTAAAATGATTAGAATATTTTGATGTTGCAACCTCCAATTTCCTTTCGAAACAGTACTTTTTTCCTAGTCTAAACACTGCGATAAGCAACCAAAATAGTTAATGTCAAAATGAAACATTTGTTTTGTTTCTGTTTTTGCCTACTGTATATTTATTTTTGTAAACCGATTAACATGCTCCTTTTTTTGTTTAATTAAGTTCTCATTTATAATAGTCGAGAAAGAAGTAGATTTGATTTATTCGTCCATTTTAAAGTTATTATAACTAATGGTTAGATTATTTTTGTATAATTTAAGTCCTATGATGATTCGACTGAAGTATAGCAGACTATATTTTAGCATGTTTTAAAAGAGATTTAAAAAAACTGTAGAATGACTGACATAAATCTGTAAATGAATAAGTTGTAGACTTCTATTAATAGATCAAACGGAATGGTTTGACTGTTGACACAGTGCATCTCTTTCGTGATGGAATTATGCGCCTTATCGGCGGTTTTAACCTTTGGTGGTAATTTGAGTTGCATCAATAAAACAAACTCAAAATGAAAAATGCATTACTATCAGCTCTGCGGTTGCAATCACTCGTACGATTTTCATCTACTTCTCAAAACTTGTATTTTTAATTCAATTGAATTTGTTGAACAAAGAATGTTAGTATGAAAGGAAGCGCAAATTGCATTCATGATGAGCTGAAAAAAAAACCATTCCAATTAACATTCTGTACAAACATGACACTGACTATAACCGTTACCAAGTCAGAAGGTTTATTTAAACTAAGCTGTTGGTATTTATGCATGAAACACTCTCGTATTTTTCCGAATTTTTAAAAAAAAATTATTGTAATTTCAATCCCTGACAACAATTTCTGCTTTATCATCTACTTCAAATGTGGACCTTTAAATTATAACCATATTAAAATATTCCAGTGTACAATACCATTAATATTGTTGATCTTTTCGATTACCCAAGAATTCTAATTTTTAATTTCTTTAATCCAACAGGTTGTTTCTTGTTTCTGAGGCAAACATATAGAATATGCAATATTGAATTCAATTAATTAGTTCAAGTACTTTTTACAAATACCAATGCATCAAATTTCAAACATTGTTTGTTATTTCTGCATGATAATTATTTTTTTCAAATTTATAATTTCTCTAAAAATTGCAAATCAAATTTACTATAAGTTAAAGTGCAAAAATTACTAAAAAATAAACACGGTGTTCAGGAAATGGACTTTGTTTACAGTTAGTTATTAATGAGAAATTTTAACTTGCAGCAATTTAGAATGCCTGCACAATGTGTAGTAAAACCGCATTTTTTCGCTGTGCACGAAATGTAATTTTACCTTCTTCTTTGAGAACGAAAGAAGATATGCATTATTGAATTTTAGTGACATTAATTTAGAAACTTTCATTGTGATCATTTTCACACTTATATTAATGAAAGACCCGATATTATTTCTTTTGCTTATGTCTAGAAAAAGTGGTATGATGAGCGGCGGCATTGTCACAATTAATTAAAAGAATAATTATAATGATGGGATAGAAATGCTGGAACTGCCAGGTTTATTGGGAAATTTATGCACACCGTAATTGACTAAAATTAATTCATTTTGAGAAAAGCGAAGGCATTTTCAATTATTTGAGTAATCCGATTTCAACGGGAATATAAATGAAATGTTTCTGTTAATTTTTAAAGCAAAAAAGAATTTTTTTTTTGATTACTAAAAAATGAAAAATTTACCTATCATGATGATCCAAATGATTAGTTTTATATTATCACTTCAGTTATCTTTCGTTATCAATTTTATTTTACATTTGAATGATAGAAATATTTCATAAGTGAAGATTACGAAGCTGCACGAAAAATGCATGCAGCATAACAAGTTAAGGTAATCTATGATATGCATTGCTAACTGCAATCTGTTCAATTTCTCAATGTATTACAAGAAGCGCTATTTAATAGTAAGTAAACTTCTTTCGTTGACTGAAAACAGTATGAGATCCAATCGATAAAACAGTTTTTTGCTTTATCTCAACTTTCATTCAATATTAAAATTTCTGAAAATTTTTAAATTATTAAAATTTCAATTACGCTCATAAGCAATATACAAATATTGATGAATGCATCGCCTCGATCAATGCACGACATCGATTTCAGTAATGCACGCTCGTTTAAAAATACGGATAATAAAAAAGTTGCATACTATACGTGAAAAACACGTACACGTATTATGTGAGAGTAGAATATACGATACACAAACAACAAAAAAGTTACACGTGAAGGATACGTAAACGTGTCATATGAGTATACAGTGTTCTGATTATATCAGTTAAAGAATATTTCAGTAATTGATGATGAAATCATTCCATTTTGATGTTTTACACAAAGATGTTACGGCAAAAATATGATGATGATGATGAAAGGAATGCGGCCGACTATTGGGCACAGTGTAATTGAGATCGAGACGGGGGTGGGGGGAAGAGATGAGAGCAGAGTAGGAGAAGAAATAATGGAAGAAGAGGAGGAAGAGGAAGGTAGTTAGTTGTTAGTTGGAGTGACGACCGACCATTCGTCCAATGTCGACAAATCGATCATATAAAAAGAGGAACGGGGAGGTTAAGAGAAGTGGGAAAAGGTAGAAAACTATTGAAATTTTGTCAAAACATTATACAGAGAAGAAAATAATATATGGAAAATAAAGGAGAGCAGAAGAGAGAAGAAGGAATAGTTTGTCAATTGGAAGGAATGGAGGAGGGGGGAGGGGGGGGGGACAATACGGCACTTCACTGAGATTGTTATAGTCTATCGAATAACAGTTAGATGCCAACTGACGGCAGACGACAACTGACGGCCATTTCGATACGACTCAAGGACAGAATAGGGGATAGGTTCGATTCGGATTTCTTGTCTATGTGTGTGCGTCTGTCTGTCTGTCTGTCTGTCTGTCTCCCGTGTTTTGTCTAAATTGCTTATTTAATTATGTTTACGTGTTAGCATTAACCGTCTTTGAAATAGTAACTTGCGACGTGGGAATGTTAACGAATCTTTGCTTATACGTTCAACTTTATGACACTTACATATTTTTCAAAGAAAATTTTAATTTTTAGTACATTCCCTTTTTTTTTTGTATTATTCGCCTCTCTTCTCATTTCATGCTTTGCCTTATATTACACAAATAAAACACCCTTACCTTCATTCTTCCTTTTCATATCAAAAGTCATCATGTGGACATTTATATCATTTGTTGATGAAATAAAATCTTCACACTTATCCACCCACATACACAATACCCACGTACACACACCCACGTATACACACCACATACACACCCACATACGCACACATATGCACACATACACGTACACACACATATATATTTGTGTATTATATACCTTTGAAAGATTACTTGGCTGCTGTCTTCATAACTTCATCAACTTTACCGTAATGCCTATTTCAAAAGAAGATAAAATACGGTAGTGTGGATAGGCGAGCCTAGTTAAGTCTCACATAATCAAATCCACAAATTTGATATATGACCTAAGAAAGGCTTGTTTGATCAATCCTAAATCTTTAAATAATTGTGTGTTCAATATTAATAGAATTATATAAAGGATAATTCATTCTGGAATTGTTGATTGATCCATTCTGGAACTGTCCTTTGATCTATTCTGGAACTATCCATTAGATTTTTGATTGTTATTGAAAATTTACATTTTATTAACTCACATCACAAAAGATAAAAGTATTAAAAAGATCAAATTTCTGCTTATTTCAAATATATATTGGCGAAGGAATAACATTTTTCTTTTTTTTTTTATTCCTACTAAATCAGCTGCTTTATTTGTATTTTTATCATAATTTTCAATTTTTCATTTCCAGTTCATCATTCAAATTAAATTTCAAATTTTTTACTTCCTAAAAGAAATTGAAATTTTTGAACCAAATATATCCACCATTCAAATTAGCATTACTAATTTATTTCTCATTCCCACTTTTACAAATTAATGAAATGACAATTTCTTTTTTTTTCTCCTAATAATGTCATCCTCTTTACATTATTACCAATTAACGAGATTCCCCTTTGTTTTATCATTCATTGTCACATTTTGAATATACATTTTTTTTTCTTTGTTTTTGTGAAAAAAAAAGGAAGGCAAAAGCGCTTACATTTCAGCTATTTGTAAGCAGCAATAAGCGATCAGATAGAAAAGTAACAAATTTGACATTTTGCTGGTAAGTTTTTAAGCGATTCTGGCTTTTCTTTCTTCATTCCTACAGCTTTCGATCATTTCATTTCATTCACTATTTTTGCTTTTCCATTCTTGAAAGTTTTAATTTAGGTAGAGGGGGGAAGAGTGTCACAATATGGATTTATTGTCACAATTGGTTGGAACATCAACCTGCAAACAATCATCAGATGAAACTGATCAAGAAGAGACTGATTTAACTGTTACTGCTAATGTTGATTCAAATAAAGGTGAAAGGTTAAAAATGATTGAATCAGATGTCAACAGAATGGATGTGAATAAAGCGAAATCAAATATAGTTTGTAAGATGGAAGAGACAAACTTGGAGAATGGTGATTCACCCAAATTTGGAATTGTGGAAAGTTTCATGCTGAAGGTTTTTCTTTTTTCTTTTTTTTCTTCCACTTTATCTTTTGAAAAATTGAAATTGAATTCATAGTTGATAAAAAACGGATTATGGGGAAATTCGGAAGAGTATTGGTTAGTTTCAATATTGGATTACTAAATTTTGATTGTATGAAATGAAAAGGTGACAGAATATCCTTTCTTACTAGTAAATGAAAAAAAAAAGTTGTATACTTCAGATGACACCAGATTCAGGCGTTCAAATTTTTCGTTCAAAAAAAGGCTTCGAAAAATTAGCATACGAAGGATTTTTGTATAATTTGGATAAACGTCATCAGAAGTATATATTATGGCGATGTGAAATGAGCAAAAAACCAGGATACAAATGTAGCGGTCGAGTACGAATGACCGAAGATTCTCTCGATGTAAAAGTTCAATGTTCTCCTGAACATTCTTCCATTCAAACAACTGGGTTTGAAACCATTTATGTTCTAGAGTTGTGCGGTATTTCACTCTCACTGATCAACAATTTACTATAATTTAACAGTCTAAACATATGTTAGCCATCTGTGTAGCAATTTTCAAATCACTCTTAAGTATATTTTTAGGCTAATTCTTCTTCTATTCTTTTTTTTTTCCTTTCCTGACTTTGAATTATAATTACTAGTTGATTAATTTATTAATAAAGCGAATCAACTAGATATTGAATTTAACACTTTTAAAAAGGTGGCATTTATTTACTGTAAAAGTAGATCAAAATTAAAAACAAATAAATAAATCAACTCAGGAAATTATTCATTTCCAGTTAGTAACCTAAAAAATATCGACACCTTTTCCTATTACGAAAACTGTTGGGGTCAAATAAGCTTTAACAAATCGTTGTTTTTTTTTTTTAATTTTTATATAGCATTTGATCGTTTAAAGTGTTATAAATATCAACATCATATATGAAGAAGTTATTTTCAGATGTATAGTGCACATTCACATCCACCAAATCCGCTGAAAGTTGTCGCTGATATACTCAAAGCACGACTATATGCAGCTGCTGAAGATCCAACGAATAGTTCGAAATTTTTATATCATGAAGCTGTTCATTTAGCATCATTTGCTGGATCTTCAGGTAAAAAAAAAAAAAAAAAAAGAAAAAGAATTCTGGTCTCCAAAACTTTAGAAACTTTATGAAATATTCAAATTTATGCAATAAAAAGGCCACTGAATACAGGTGGCGTATTTCATTTTCTTAATTTCATTGGTTAAGAATAAAATTATTAACGCTATCCGAGCGATAGGACATTCTTCAGTGGATGAAATGCCGGATATAATCGAAAATTAACTTCCTGAAAAGGTTTACAGTGGCTGTTTCTTTACAGTTAAGCTGATTTACTTGCTAATTAAACAGATAATAGTTTATAAAAACGGTACATCCCCTGTTTTATACAATGCTTAATTTGTTCCGCGCAGCATGACAGTAACTCCCTAAAACTTTCACAGTTTGGTTAAGTTGGCGATTTCTGTCACCATTTAATCCATCTTATAAGCTCTTTTTTTTTGGAGCTATTTCCTTGAGAAGAATATATCCTGATATTTGCCATAAGATCCGATGCAAATATTGACGTGCTCTTTTGAGCATATTACTCTCTCATTTGCTAGACATTCCTGTATTTCCCGAATCCATATTACTCTCTCATTTGCTAGACCTTCCTGTATTTCCCGAATCCTCAACATATGTTGTCATCCAATCTGAACTGATACCAAGCTTTATATATCAGTTGAACACTTTGACGATCTCTTTGACATATCAAGGTTACAGGTCTACCAAAGCTTGGCTCAATGCAACGGGTGATTAGCCGGAAACGACGTCATACGCAAAAATTACTGGAAGAAAGTTCAAATCCTACTTCATCAGGTTACGATTCAAGTAATGTTGCTTCGACATCAGTATCAAGCGATGGGAATTGCTCCATTAGTGATCTTTTCCAGACTGCTGAACGATTACAGTTCCTTTTCACTCCTTCAGGAGGTAAAACTTGTGATTTCTAACATTTC